TGATAATGCTAGGATACTTTGCAAATTTATGGATTGTTTACCTGACACTTGGGAAAATATAATTATGTGCATGAAAACTTCTAAGGATCTACATCACTTCAAGCTTTGTATGACACTTTATATAATTATGAGCAAACTAAAGTACTAAAGAAATATGTATTTCAGGAAACAAAAAGTACAAATATTGCTTTTGTTTTCTCTAAGTCTAAGAGAATAGTTTATGTGTTAAAGGTTTCATATGACACAGATTCTGACATCCCTGGTGATTACAATGATAAATCTTCCTTTAATCTCAATGAAGATTCTAATAAGGAAATTGAAGGTTTATGAATGCAATACATAAGTGACTCTCTTTCTTTAGTCGCTTCTAATCTCAATATAATTGTTAGAAAAAGTGGCTTTCAAAGAAGGTCAAAAGGAAGATTATAAAAAAGACTATCATTTGTCAATCGAAGTTTGTTCACTCATTATAAACCTAATAATGCTTGTTTCAACTGTGGAAAGAAAGCACATTTTGCAGTCAATTGTAGATCTTAAAAGTCAAACCCTTCTCCATCTTCAAGAACATATCATGCATCACAATCCAGTTATAAAGGAATAAGAAATAAAAGTCAAAAGAACTCTAAAAAAGATAAAGGAATGATGGTTGAAGAACATTACTAGGTAGAGTCTGCTTCTTCATCCAATGAACAAGAAGATAAAGTAAATCTATGTTTTATGGCTCATCTCTCAGAAATAAAGGAGTCTGACAAAATATATCTAACTGGTTTTTCATTAGAAAAGGCTTATCTTTCTCTCAAACAAACAGGTATATCCATCTCTGTCATTTTATGATCGCATGTATGTGAAAATGTCTAATGCTCTTGAATCTAAATAAAAGGTAGAAAAGAAAGCAAAAAAATTGTTTGTTAAATGTACGAGTGTTTTGAAAAACTCAAAGAGTTTGAAAAAATTCAACATGAGGTGGAGGATCTGAAAAACATTTGCTAATATATTAACAATGAAAAACATCTTCTTCTTCAAGATCTTGCAAGAGAAAAATCAACCATTAAAAGTTGGAATCATGCCTCTCCTAATCATATGATATTATTAAACTACCATATTCTCTCGAATTGGATCCTAAATTGACGGGTTAATGTGAGCTTATCCCTTTCTTGGCCACATATCTTTCCGGCTAAGGTGCGAAATTATAGAAGATCCCCCTCAATAATGGTCATAGATTAGGTTTTTTTTCTCTCTCTGTAACAAAAGACTCAGACAAAATTTCAAATGATTTCATCTACTCTAAAAAATCTTCCTACTCTCAATACTCCTCTTGTAATTCTTCAAAAAATTCTAGGAAGAAATATAAAATACTAGATGGTTTTGTTGATGCCTCTTATCGAAAATGGAACGATTTTGTGTCAAGAGAAATTGAATGTGAATTCATTAGATCTTCATCTCGTCCATAAAATTCACTCTTCGAATAAGGGTAAGAATATTGAATTCTCCTTTATTTCAAAAAGAACAAATGGAAAGGGTATTCTTGGACCAAAACCATCTACAGTTTCCTATTCTCACCTTCCTAAAAGAAGTTTCAGAAATTTCAAAAGAGATTTAACAAGTTTGAAAGATCCTTTTCTAGAAAATGCTATAATTGTGGAAAACCCTTTCATTTTGCAAAGACTGTCATCATGACAAAATGGAACATCTTTTTGATAGTATTGCAAATTCAAAATAACCCATCAAAAGTTGGGTAGGAAAGAACTAATTCATTTCATAGCAGGGACCGATTCATATATAAATCCTATTTCAGAAAGAAAAAAAATTGGTTGTTATTTCCTTACTAGAAGACTTTGTGTCAAAAAAAGATATTCACTTAACTTTTCAGAATCTCCATACTCTTTTGGATTGGTTCCTCTTACCTATACCAACATCCGATGTTCTTTTTTTTTTTAACACTATCTGACAGTTCTTCTTCCATCAGATATTTTCTCTATCGGATGAATGTCTCTCTTCTTTTCATCTGATGAAAAATCCCATATCGAATTCCATGTTCTAAATCCGATAAACCTCCCACTCTCAATTTCTTCAATCCTTAATATTGTCGGATTTAGTAATCCGATAATTCCTATAAAGAATAACAAGAGTTCAATTATAATTCTTTTATTAATGACAACTTTCATATCAATTTTGCGAAAGCGATTTTATTTTTAAAAATTAAACTATTCACTCAACCATCACGATCTGTCTAATCATCCTCAACCTCATGATTATCGTTCTCTCTCCTCTCTATAAAAATACCCAAAACCTCCAACCTCTTCTTCACCGCATCTAAAATCCTAGCCTCCTATCTTTCTTCATCTTCTTCAAATTTCTTTGTCTCTTTTAACACCCAAATTGACTATACATGGACTATTATCAAGGTTAGTTCTCTACTGATTGAGTTCCACTTGAAGTGAAACTATTTGATTGATTTTGCAGGTCCCTGAACATCCAAGTTGGTCTAGATGTTTCTAAGTGCAAATTATTCAACCAGCCCTTGCAGCTGTTGGAGCTCCTAAAAATCTTGTTGAAGTAATAACTGGGTAAGCCTTTTTTATTATGTTGTTAATTTGCATTTCTTAGGTACTTCAAACTTGGAATTTTGCCAGGTTTGCTGAGACAAGATAAGCATTGGTGTCCTCGGCTGACAAAATCATATTTGTTGGATCACCAGGTGTAGGTAGAATGGTATGAATTTCATATCGACAAATACTTAAGATTTATCTGTTCTCTAAAGTCAGGAAAAGTCAATTTTCTAGCTATACTCTCTGGCTACAAAAGAAGAGCTAGATGTATCCAATAGTGATTGTTTTCTTTTGAATACAAAACCTTTATTTTGGGGGGCCCTTGTGTTTAAGGGATTACTTTCCCATACCTCTTTGCACTTAACTTCTAATTTAGCTAAAGATTGTGAGTTTTTACCTGTCATATTTATCCAGAAGATGCTTGAATTATTTTAACAGTGTTTTCTGTAAATTCAGATAATAAGGAAGGCTGCTTACATGTGACACTTGAGCTTGGGGGAAAAGATCCATTTATTGTGTGTAAAGATGTAGACGTGCCTCATGTATGAATAAGTCCAACTATAGGTCAGCTTGTATAATGAACTTTGATTGTGCTCTTACACATGCTTTTAAACATGTCGTTAACTTTTGATGTCTATTTTTAGTGTCATTATTTGTTTAATAGTTTCTTAGAACGAAATATAGGTTGCACAAGTTGTTGTTAGGGCTGCTTTGCAATCAAGTGGACAAAATTGTGTTGGGGCTAAGCGATTTTATGTTCACAAGGACGTCTATTCTTCATTAGTAGTTGTAGTTGTCAAGATTGTTAAACTTGTTACTGCTATAAGTACTCTACTATGCTTTAGTTGTAAGATGTACAATGTCGTTGTTTTTATTTCTTTATGGTTAATATGATACAAATACATAAATAATAAGCTCTTGCCTTTGGCATGCATGTCCTATTTGTTGCTTAGACATTTGTAAGTTGAAGCGAAAACCAAGCAACAAGAGGTGGATTTTTTTTACGTATTCATCTACTCAGTTGCATGAGTCTTTTTGCCTTTTGGTTCTGAGGTTATATTTTTTCCCCTTTACAGGCTGCTGCTTATATCGATCTTGAAATGTGGTTGCATGATGTCACATTCACCATTATCTATATCTATATCTATACTTCTATACTATCTTATAAACCAGATTCAAGAAAAGTCTTAAAAATAATTTTTAATGCACAAAGTACTATACATTTATGCACGAAGTCTTAAAGTCTTAAAAACAAGTCATAATGCACTAAGTACTACTATGTTATGCATTTAGTCTTAAAAGTCTTTTGGATATCTTGATCTCTTAATCTTTATGTACAACTCATTAATGATTTTTCCTCTTGAAATTACTATTCCCGAAGCGTCCATTCAGATCATGCTCTTATCGGATACGAAAGTGACGATTATATTACCAACACTTGCATCGATTCCTACCAAAGTGACAATTATATTACCAACACTCACATCGATTCCTACCAAAGTGACGATTATATTACCAAGAACCTCATTTATTCGTGGTATATATGTATATGTATATGATTTCTCTACCGATTCTCATTGATTCACGCTCGACCCACGTAATTTAATTTTGCTAATCATTGAATCACTTTTGCTTTCCATCGATTTATGTTTGATTTCTTTTGGATTCAGGTTTTCTAGCTTTTTTCAATCTGTGGCGAATATGCAACTAAGGTGTTTGAGGAAATGCCTCAAAGGGATTTAGTATGTAATTTATCAATTTCATATCTTGCTTGATGAATCTTTGGGCTTAGCTTAGAAACATGTCCTCTTTCTGGTGCTTCGGTTGCAATCGATTGGCAGGTTTGTTTCAAATTAATAGGTTTGCTTCCGTTAACAAGTTTGTTTTGCAATCAATTTTTTGTTTGCCTCTACGTTTCATTTATGTATAGCAATCGATTTTTTGTTTGCCTCTATCTCACTTGTCTGTTTATTTTTTTGTTTTGGTCATAGCCCCATTTTGCAGGATCAAATTTCTCTATTTCTTGTAAGGTTTTATCGATTTCTTGCATTTTCCAGTTCTCATGATTCAAGATTTCTTACATGGTTTGGTGATTGTCGATATTCGATTATATAGTAAATATGAAAAGCCTCAAATATTAGGTATGTTGTTTTTTTGAGTTTAAGATGTAGAAGATGAAGAGTAGCAACAATCAGGGCCGGCCCTGAGATTTTGGATGCCCACGGCGGAAAATAAAAATAATGCCCCTTATACGTGTAAATAAAAACCAAAATAAACTATTTGAAGAGTTTTGGAACCTAGTCAATCTAACAAAAAAGTGCCCCTTAAATATAACAAAAATGATGCAACGAGGGGGACATAAACCAAAACCCCGTGTAACAGAAGATAAAGTGCATCACGGGGGGACATAAACCAAAACCCCGTGTAACAAAAGATAAAGTACATCATCATTTACCTAAAACGATGCCTTCTTGCGTTTTTTGAAGCAAAAATATCTATCACTTCGTCATAACTAATATTAGCTAAAAACTTACTCTCAATACTCAAGATTGCAAGCCCGTTCAATCTTTCTTGACTCATGGTAGACCGTAAATACGACTTCAACAACTTTAACTTTGAAAAGCTTCTTTCCGCAGATGCTACGGTCACCGGTACGGTCAATAGTATCCTGTAAGCAAGCAAGACATGTGGAAACATGTCCATTTTCTTTGCAAACTCCATAATTTGTATCGATGTCCAAGGATTTCCACTTTTAGATGCCTCTTCTGGTAGCATTCCCTGCAAAGCTTGTAACTCTATAAACAAATATTCGCCATCAATATCAGAATCATTACCATTTGTTAAAGCAAGTTCAAGGTTTAAACAACATTTTTTTAACTCGTCATCATGTATAGTAACCAAATTTCGCCCATCAAACAAGAAGCCAAACATAGATTCAAATTCTTGCATTTGTTCAAATCTGGTTCGTAACTGCAAAAGAGCCATATCAACTAAAACAATAAAATAATCAGTTCTAAATGTCTCTTGAGCGGATTGGTGTTCTCTCTCTGTATTTGGAATTTCATCAAATTGTTTTTTCCTTGAGAAAAAACGTTTTACAACAAACTCAGGTTCAATTCCAATATTACTTGCAATCTCTTTAGCTTCACGAATGGCACATGTAAACCCACTTTCCCTATATTTTTCAAAATATTCAACTAATCCCTTTAGATTTTGTATTGCAACATCAAGAAGCATATCTTTAGACTGTAACTTCTTGCTCACTAAATTAATTCTATACAGAATTTCATGCCAAATAACCAAACTCACAATAAACTCAAAACTTGAAAGCTCACCATTAACCAAAGACTCGGCTTCCCTACACATTCTTCCATCCTCACTTACTTGAGCCAATTGTACTAAAGCATCTCTAATTTGGCCAACTTGAGTTTTGATAGCTTTAACACTTTCAATATGGCTTTCCCATCGAGTAGCAGATAAAGATTTCAAAGTCAAATCATCAATATATTCTAATAAAACAGTCCATCTCTTTGTAGAATTAGAAAAGACATTGTATATGGCTTGACAAGTACCAAAAAAGGTTTTTGCTTTGTGACAAGAATTTGCCATATCACATAAAACTAAATTA